ACMACGTTCTCAGCATCTTTGGTGTCTTCTCCAGTTTTCTTWCCCTCTTTCTCTTTGATAGCTTCATCGGTCTTTTTGTCTCCGTTTTCCTCAGAAGCCTTGGGATTTAGCGCGAGTTCCTTAATCCCATCGACACTGTTTACCTGTGGTGCAGTAACCATTGGGACTCCTTCAGCGGCAGTGCTCATCCCAAGTCCACATAGCGGATTGGGATTATTACTAACGGAGTTACTTTGAGTATGCCACGCAGTAGTTGCCTGATTTGGTTGATCAGCCATGGAAGATTCTGAATGCAAGGGCATCTGCAATGCCTGTMCAAGCTGTGGAATGGGCTGTCCATTTGCAAGAATCTGCGCTATAGTTGCTGAGATGTTGCTAATCTGATCGATCTGTTCCCTGGTCACAGTATTTTGGGCCGGAACAGCCTTCTCCACTATTGATTGATGATTACCTTGAAAAACATTTCCACTCTCGGGATTGCTCAAGTTCGTGCCTACAGGGAAATCTGCAGCAGCAGGTAGCACTTGTTGACTTCCTCCAGCAGTTAGTGAGCTTTGGTACGGCAATGCYTTATGATTCTGAGTGTTCTGATTGAATGCTTGAACAGGAGCYATGTTCATCGGGTTATTGTAYTTCTGATGCGAAACAGCTARCGGTTTTTCAGCCATGGGTTTGTCACCATGTGAAAACATACCACTGGTCCTCTGATCATAATTAGTAGCCAAATTATCTTTAAGAACTCGAGATTGTGAACTCTGACCAGTAATGCCAACACCAGGCTCTTCCTTCATGGGGTTATTCAAATGGTGAGCACCGTAATTCCAATCTGGAGACATCTCCATACCATCAATCCAGCTACTACCGTTCCCTTTAGATTCAGAAGTTCCCTTACTGGCACGAGAAACTTCGATCCCACCTAATTTTCCATTATCTAATRTTTCAACATCATTCCATCTACGACCACTATGATTGTTATTGTCCTGTCTACAAAACTTGCTGTCTTGTTGAGGCTGCTTTCTCTCASCACCGTGATGAGAGAACCTGCAATAATTGCCATTKCGACAGAATCCTGCAGCGAAAAACTTGCAAGGAATATTCGAACTCCTGTGGAATTCTCCCTCACCATCACCATCCCTTCTTTGTGTTTCTTTCTCACCCGTTAATTCGCTTCTGTGCCTTCTCAATCTCGGATCTGAAACGCCATCATGTAAATGCTCCCTTCTAGAACCATCCTCGGGAAAATCAGCATCGTAGTTGGACGACCTCGCACCTTTCATCATTGCCTGTTCTCTAAAATCATCGGCGTGATATTTCATCTCCCTTGGCTTTCTAAGTTTATCTTCCCAACCATAATCGCTGCTTTGATCACCCCCTCTTCTATTGAACTCCCTGCTTGGSAGAGGCGAATCTCGTGTTCTGGTCTTGTGTCTGTCATAAGATCCTGAATCTCGCCTTGCTCTATAGACCGGGCTTCTGCTACGGCTTCTACTTCTGCTATAACTTCTACTACCACTCCTGGGAAAAAGAGACTTAAAAAAGTAAGAACTCAAGAACAATCTCTACTTTTGTAGTTATTGTAACAACTCAAACACTAACCTGTGGAAAAATTGTTGCCTAGTTTCATCTTGTTCCGAATAATAACTGTTATCGTTATTCTGTGCAACTCTGCTCCTAGTCCTACCTTTACCGGAATGCTGATCGTCCGCAGCAACAGATCTTCTACTACCATTACTCTCTGCATTAAACCGGACAGGCTCGGGATCTTCCTCGCGGTAATAAGAGCCTGATTTTGCATTTACGCTAGAATGATGATGATGTGTGTCTTCCTTAGAGTCCCATTTCGAAACACGTTTCCTTCCCGAACCACTCATTTCAAACCCCTAAGGCTCGAAAACTAGTAGCACCAAATATCAAAAGAAAATCTGCAGAAAAGAAGTCCACAAAGAGAGGAAAATTAAGTGGAAACTTCTTCTGTTGTTGCATATCCTTGAAGGCATCATCTAATTTCTTTGTGACACAGAATTAGTCTGTTCAAAGATAATTATAGCTCAAAGTAAACATTTTTCCTACACTGAATCATTCATAGCCAATTGAATCCACGAAAAAAAATTCAACCTTTAAATGTTATGCGATTCCATTAAACTCAGAGCAAAATCTTATATTCCCAATTGAAAAGATTGATATTGAGATCCGCACCGAAATCAAACGATGAAATAAYAGAAAAAAAAAACCCAATCCTATGTAATTAAACTTACAATATATCACAGAGCAAAACATCGAACCTGAAATTGAGCAGAAAATTGATACGAACACAAAAAAAAAAAAATTGGCTAAATTGAACCTAATTGGAGCTTAAAAGACAAAATTGATTGAAGAGAGATAACCCTAAAAACCAGAATTAGACAAGAAGAGAAACAACACTCACTTGAATTCAAATAGGGATTGCCATAAGTAACCAAAAAACCCTAAGACCAAGCTTCTTCTGAATCTTCTCTCATTGACAAATCGAGGAGGTGTAAGCTTCTTCGCTTCTAGGGTTTCCAGACAAGTAAAGAGACTGCTCCAATGTCCGACACA